CCCGGCCACTCGCCGAAGCCGCCTCTCACACGCCCGGGCGGGCCGTTTTCTTTTCCCACGAGAGAAATGGCCACAGTGAGAGAGAGAGAGGAGAGGGAGGGCAGGAGAAGCTCAAGGGGAGGCCCTCCGCCGGGGGACCCCCCCACTTAAAAGGCCGAGAAGGCAGGCAAGGAAACGACCCACCGACCGTCCCGGGGCAAGGAGCAGCGCAGCGCCACCCCGGGGAGGGAAGGGGGTGGACGAACGGCTCCTACCTGAAAAGGGGCTCAACCGAGAAATTCGCCATCTTGGAAGCCCCAAGCGCCGTTGCCGGGGCCACCCCGACGCCCCGCCCCTTTTCCGCACCGGAAGGAATCCTCGTTTCCGCCGGAAGCCGTTGTTCCCAGGCAGATGCCCCGCCTTTTGTCCTTCCGCGCCCTCTCCCTCCTTAAGGAGAAGGCTGGACTTTCCCTTGGCTTTACACTACGGACCAAGCCGACTAGGACTGCGTGGCGGCAGAGCAGTCCTGCTGCCGGAACGGGAGAGGTTCACTCGCCAGCCTCCCTCGGTGAACGGGCCTAAGACACCCTTGTGCAGGTGGCAACTCACAAGAGGCATGGGGTTTTTCCCCCCACCCACTGGGTGTTGTGGGCCCTGTGCCGTCGAATATCCTTCCCATTTATGGCGACCTTCTGAATGAGGGGCCGCCCGGGGGGGGGGTCTTGCAGCCTCATGGGTGTGGCTTGTGGGCCCTGTGCCGTCGAATATCCTTCCCATTTATGGCGACCTTCTGAATGAGGGGCCGCCGGGGGGGGGGTCTTGCAGCCTCAAGGTTGTGGGTTCCTTTATGGAGTCAACCCTACCTCATAGTCCTCTTCTCCTACTGCCCTCCACTTTGGCCAGCGTTACTGCCTTTTCCAGCAAGGTTATAGAAATACACAACGTGGTACAGTACTGTCATCAAAGGATCATAAAGAGAGGCACCTTTATCTAGCACAGACAACCCTACCTCATAGTCCTCTTCTCCTACTGCCCTCCACTTTGGCCAGCGTTACTGCCTTTTCCAGCAAGGTTATAGAAATACACAACGTGGCACAGTACTGTCCTCAAAGGATCATAGAGGCGCCTTTATCTAGCAAACACTTGAGTAACCTAAGGTTAAGAACCATTGATCTAGCCCTTTATCTCTTTATCTAGCACTCCTTCATTAAATACCGGGAAACGTCGGATATGCGCTTCTCTTCTGTTCTAGCTCTATGGTCCTTTCCTAATGGGTCTAGTGTAGCAACAAGAGGTTTTTCCCTCTGTAGCAGCGCTTGGCAGGATTCATAGATTTGGGGCGGAAGAAAAAGTCCGCCGGACTTAGCTGTCGACTCTCCAATAGGCGCTGGGAAGAAGAGGAGCCAATGAGAGCCCGAGGCTCAGCTCGAGGTAGCCAATCAGCAACGGCAGCTGAAATTTAAAAGGTAGCTTGTGGAGGGGAGAAGCCAGTGTCTCCCCGGGTCATTCATCGCTGCAAATCCAGTTCTCCTTCGGCGACGCTTTCCAAACAGTGGAAGGTAGTTCGTGTCAGGGTAGATAACATGCACGTTTATCTTAAGCATTTTTTTAACCTCTCAAAGCCGCATCTTTTATTTATTTATAATCTATTTTAAAATGCAGGTTGAGTTTAATGAGAATGTGTTCAAGTTTCCATTTATAATCTTTAAAAAAGCTGCACAGAGGTCGAGCTTCGCCCTCTCTATGGAAAAGAACCGTAGGGGAAATATATCTTAAGATTTATCCTAGCAAAGATGACCCAATGGATTCTATTAGGCTTCTCACTGGAAGTTAAGGACTTGGTAAGCCATCAGAGAAACTAAGATCTTGCCTCTTGACATTCAGCTCAGGCACAGAACAACCCATTTGCGTGCATTCACAGAGGCCACGAAGAAGAAAAATATTTTCAGTTATTCTCTGGGTTTGGTTTCCCTTTTTTTTCCCTAGCAAAGTGAAATTGTTGAAATGCAAGAGAGTATAGAAAAAATAATTTGCAGCACTAATAGGTACTTTTAAAGAATACATCATCTGTTGTCTAGAAAACCTCAGTAATTCTAGATAAATCTAAGCATTTCTTTTGCAATGTAATGTAAATATTAGTATTTCTTTTGAAAAAGATGCAATTTAAGGGAGTCATCTATTACAAAAACTTGGGCAGAGTATAGTATAATAGCTTATCAGCTATACAATATATTTCTGAATTCATTTTATGGTGCTCTATCATTTCACATTGTGAAAGGTGTCCTTTACAATCTGGCTGTGTACACTTTCCTCCACTGCTTTTAGGTTTTTCTGAGGGGATGCTGAAGTGGAACAAAGCAGAAACTTGAGATGCCTCTTGCTGGTTGACGGGGGGAAAAACCACAAGCCAGACATAGTCACCATAGAAACCATGCTACCAGCTACCAATCAACAGCTGGCATCCACCATAGCCCTAAACTCTACTCGGCACCACAGCTAGCCAATGAGAGCTATCTATCCAATACAACAGGCAAGCAGAGCTGCAGAATTAAAGGAGAATGTCACAATGTGGTAATTCACCCAAATGGAAGCGCCTTCTCTAGCTGGCATGAAACCCATCATTTACACACAGTGTCCGAAAGAACCATAGGAGGTGAAAGAACCATAGTCAAAGAATTCTGTTTATTGATCAGCAGACAGAAATGTACAGGAAACACAGATCAGGGTGCCAAACAAGGAACCTCACTAAAAATCCACCTGTCCCTAGAAGCTCAGAAATTTTCACATCCTCCTAAAATCTTTCATACAGTACTTTTTTCTTAATAGGACGGCTTGCAATCCTGATAATTATATCTCATGCCCAGCCTCGTTTTAAAGGTTTCGGGCCTAGCATTCTTTCTCTGTCAATCTCTCAATTCTTATTTAGCTAGTTACTTTTTTCCAGATGTCACTTTTGCTGTCCTGTTCTGAAAAACCATACATATGTAAAATGTTAGTGTTTCCCCGTTTTCAAAATCCTTGAATTCATCTTGCATAATTCTGCCACTTTGTTGATTTCTTTTCCTGTACAATAAATCATTTCTGGGGCTTCATGTGCTATTTTCCCTATGCCCTCCAGTTTCTCTTTATGTTGTTAGCTTGCTGTCTGTCAGGAATAGTGCATCAATCAAATCATTTTCTATGATTTCTCTGAGGTAGTAGTAGTTATTTTATATATGTATTTGGCACACTTTCCTCTTTCTTCTTGCCTCCTTTTATGTTGCAAATTTTCATCCCCACCGTTTTTCCACTCTTTTCCTGGTACGGGCTGTGTCTGGGCACCATCAGGGATTTCACTTTAAAGAATTCAAGGAATCCCTCTGCTCAATCTGCTACTCTTTTCATTTCTGTTCTTAATTTATATTTTCCTGGGTTGGTTTATGCTGACTTAAGCTGACCTTGTCTGTTCATTTTTGCGGATTATCAGTGATCGCTCTAATTATGCTCTTGTCTTGTATGGCAGCAGTTTTATTTGCTGAATGCAGGGCAGGCCTGCTTCATTTTTGTGCAGTTCCCATGTGAAGTATTGCTGCTATGAAAATATTCCCATTTATTTTCTCAAAATCCTTTCTCTGTACTCTGTAGTGGATTGCTTTTACCTGTTCCATAAAGCAAAGATAGGCACCCCCTGGCCCTTTAACTGTTGCTGGACTGCAGCTCTCAAGAGCCTTCCCTAATCTTCAGACAGTGGTGAGGAGGTCTAAGGGGACCTAATGTCCAACAATAGCTGGAAGTCTGCAGTTTGCCCACTTCTGCCATCTGAAGTCTCTCAGAAGATCGAAAGAGTCAACGGCATAATGATGTCATATTCATTCATCAGAATCTGTGGTTTCCAAATTTGGACCCTGAAGTATTTGTGAACCAACTCCTAGCATCCCCATTCCCAACATGCCTGACAAGTGATCAGAGATTTGAGGGGTTATAGTCCATTAACCCTTGGGCATCTAGGATTGGGAGCCACAGATCTCAGTACACATCTGTTTTTAAACCAGGTTTTAGTGTTCCACTCAGTGGTAAAAATTCTGTCTGAAAGGACTGAAAATCAGCCAAGCAGGCCAGCTGTCCAAGGGAAGCAGTGCCTCACCCTATCCCTACAAATTAAATATGCTCATACCATAAGGGTAACCCTGTTATATTCTTCCTTCTCTTATTTGCTTCTTTTATACAGTGGTGCCTCGTTTAGCGACGTTAATCTGTGCAGGAAAAAACGTCGCTAAACGATTTAATCGCTAAGCGATTTTAATAAGCCCATAGGAACGTATTAAAACACGTTTAATACGTTCCTATGGGCTAAAAACTTGCCTTAAAGCAAAATTCCTCCATAGTTGCGGCCATTTTGGGTGCCTCTACAGTGAAGCAAAACAGCGGCGGCCATTTTTTTTGTGGTGGCCATTTTGGAACTGCCGATCAGCTGTTTAAAAAAGTTCGCTTTGCCATGATCGCTTCCCCGCGATCATTGCAAAGCAAGTTTTAGCCATAGAGGACATTGCTAAGTGATCACTCCAGCGATGGCCAAAAGTCCATCGCAAAGCGATTTCATCGCTCAACGGAGCGATCGCTAAGCGAGGCATCATTGTAGTCCTTGCAAGATTTAAGGATTTCTAATTTTTTAATTATAAGAAAAGTGAACACAGACTAAATTGCAAGTATTATCAGAGCGAGCAGGATGATCTGAGTCATGGTGTCATATCTGAGCTTCTGTATGGAAGGGAATGGAATGATAGCTGGTGTGCCATAGCCAAGCTTCATTCTGTGATGGAGGATTTGTGTTGACTGGAGCAAGTCACTGCCTGTGGCATGATCTTACGGTCATACAGAAAGCATGACCGTAAGGAGGAGGTGGCGGAGACTTGTGGGGCATATCAAGCAATCGTTCACCTACCTTCCATCCTGAAGGGGAGGGAGGGGACTAGGTGCTGATCAGTTGCAAGTTTCATCAGCAGTGTAGGCTGGTGGGAAACTGCAATTCGCCAACATTGAATTCAGTCATTAGTATTTGTGCAGTTTGCCTAACTTGCCACAGCTAATTGTTGCTAATCGATGAGGTACTGTGGCACATCTCCATTGATTGTGTGGTCATGCCCCTGACTGCACAATCAAGATGTGCTTTGACACATCCTCAGTCAACTGCAACAAGCTTTAGCAAGTTACTCATGCTTTACACAAATACCAGCAAGATCCCAGCTACTACATTCTAGAGGGCTATACCTTTTTAAAATTAAAACCCCTGATAGCAGTATAGTCCAAAATTCAAATTTCATATCAAAGTGATAACTAGGGGTAGGATTTCTATGATATTTCACACTTTCTCTGCAACCTGTACATGAACCCACAAGGAAGTTTAAACTGGTTTATGAATAATCTGGCCTTTCTCACCAGATGTCCAAACCCACTTATAAGTTCAAACACAGGCTGCAGAAAAAATATGACATGTCATAGAAATCCTCCCCCTAGGGCACGGGTCAGGGAATGTTTTTACCTTTTACCCCCTAAAAAATTTATATACGCCAACATTACCCCCTTGATTTGAAAGGAAGAATCTCAGTCAAGCGCCACCGCCTCGCCTCCCGGGCTGCCGCCTGGTGGGGCCGCACTCAGTCCTTGGCTCCCTTTCTCCGCCGGTGGG